CTGCCGCGGGCCGTGGTGGCGGTGGCGGCGCCACCCCCTTCCTTCTCCTAGCTTCCTTCTCCTAGCTGTTCACGTACGGCTGTTCCTTAGAGTGGGAGAGACGAATGCAGATGACCGTCATCTGTACCCTGCATATATCACCGCGTCTGCGCTGGGATCTCACGTTACAAAACGTCAATGCAGATGGTACCTCAATCAGCAGTTATCGCCTCACGTCAAAGGTTCCAGTTGGACTACAACTCGAGGACTCATGCTTACGGGTTTAATGCGGAGTCGTGTTAAGCACGCTGTTTTTCTAGCGCTTACTGTCCAGCCAGCCCTGGGGCGAGCATCAAACTAATTGTCAGCACGTATAGCAACCCAAGCCCAAGCGCCCATGCCGTAATACCAGCTGTCGTATGTGTCTCCTGCATCCAGCGTACGGCACCCCAACAAGCCGAGCGATCGGGCACAATCTTTGTGGCCGCATACATGATCATCCAAACCAACGAATTCCCACGATATTCCAGTCGAAAAGGGCAGATGCTTATCATGCGTCTGTTATGCATCAGCATGCAGCAAAACAACCATGGCCTTTCGTTGCGAAATAGGAACGAACTTGAATCCAGAAAAACCGACCAACATGCCGTTAACCACGCAATCACGTTAATATGGGTTGAGGAGGGTTAACGAGTGCACACAGCCAGCCAGCCATTCCCTTCTTCCCCACCCCACCACCAACCATACCGTTGCACGCCCTGTCTCGTTTCTAGCTCCCCCACCAGCCTCATCTGCCCATCAATCTCACGACCCAGCCGCCCCTCATTCTCGCACGCAGCCCCCCTCAACCTTGCGCGACTCGCAGCCACTAAAAGCCACTAAAAGACATCCCCCAAACTTTAACTCTTTTGTTCTACTCAGCTGTGCGTTTTCGCGCTTAACAACCACATCGATGCTTAAAACCCCCCAGTCAAATCAAAGCCTTAAAACTGAAAGCCCTCCTTCCAGGCCTCATTTTAGACGTCGCATCAAAGTCCAGGTTCGATAGCACATAGCACACAGCATGGGTGGTGTCGGCGTATCCGTCGGCCTATCCGTCGGCGACACGGCGCAGGAAAAGCGACAACAGATGCCACCTTTAGGGGGACATGCTCAAGCAACCACCAACACCGAAATACTGCAGACCGGCTTGAGAAAGGGAAAAAGACAGCTAAAAGACAGAAAAACAATTTCACGTAGCTGCTCAAGGACCTCGTGCGTTGCTGTTCGTTGTTCACATGTGTATAACATCCTCCTCCCTTGGCGAGGAGGCATTTACTCAATATTTATCAAGCCAGCAAGATCCCTACAGGACGCACACACACACACGCACACATACACACGCGCACACATACACCCCCCCCCACACACAAACGAATTCTTCAAGGAGGGAGCCCCCCAGGGACCCTCTCTCGCCTTTCCCCCTCTCCCACAATCCCCTTGCCTGGAACCCAACAACATCCAACTAGCAGTTGACAGTTGGCGGTTTCCGCTGTCATTTTATAAAACCCTAAGTCCCAACACCAAGAACAACACTGACCCAAACCCGCCTCAGCCCCGGGATTCAGTTTACTTGAACAACAGAAAACAGGGGGCAACACCCTCAGCAGAACGACCTATCAGCGGATATATACAAAGACAGACAGACAGACAGACAGACAGACAGACAGACAGATCAGGCAGATAGACGCACCTGCACTACAGGCAATCCTAGAATAGCAGCTATTATCGGAGACTGAGCTTGTCTGTGTTGGAAGGATTGTTGAGATGATGCGCGCAGTCATTGCCACCACGGGTGTTCGCAGCCCCCGCCGCCGCTGCCGCCGCCGCCCCAGTCGGCTGCTGCTGCTGCTGCTGCAGCCGCCGCCACTCCTGGAACAACTGCCATTCCGCCGGGGTCACACCTGACGGCGGCGGCGCCGCCGCCGATGCCGCTACCGGTACTGCCGCCGCGTTGCCGTGGTCAAGAGGGCCGCTGCGACACGTTGGCGCTGCGTGGCGATGCTAAACGGTGATCCACTGGCATAGTGCCCTTCGGAGACTCCTGAGCGCTACACCTCACGTCCGTCGCGCCGCCGCCGCCGCCGCCGCTGCCGCCGGCTTCCACGACGCCTGCCGTGGGTGGCCCGCGAGCT